TCTACCAGGCTCACACTGCTTTGGAGTCCCTGACCTTGAAAATACATATATTTCAGATAATAATTGATAACATTTAAATACCTTACAACCAGCGCTACCYAAACTTCCGCCAACTTTRAAAGACCTTGATCCTGACAAGAGATAATTCAGCCATTCTCTCAATCCAAGCGATAAGACAACAATGTCGGCWACAGCTATGTTAGCGATAACATAGCACATCTGCTTGTGAAGCTTCTTGGCTTTACGTATTAGATAAACCACGAGGGCATTGCCCGAGACACCAAGCACAAATATCAAAATGATAATAAATGATTTAGCAACGTGCTTGGTTTGTGGTTTATTTAGTTCGCACTGATCGCTGRATTCCCTGCTGCTGTTCATGACGACTGCCTCTCTAATGCTCTAGAATTTCAATTGAAAAGTCGTGGAAATCATTAAAAGCAATTGATAATCAATTATCTAGCTATCGATAATTAACCACAGTTCTGATAGGACGGTAAAGATTGAAGTAAGAGAATATATTCAATAATTGAGAAATCCAAAACYTTGATTATCTCAGTTGTTTATAAAAATCTAAGAAGAAACAATCCGCACGGATAATTTAAAGTATTCAATAAACCTCTTTCAAAAATTAAATTCAAAATCTTCAAATAAAACTCTTTCAAAAATCCTTATGAAGAGTGTTGTTTGAAATAAACATTGTGAACAAAGGTCATCAACTCGAGTAAATAAAACTTATGAAGTCGATTGACTTCAAAACGAAGAAAAAACGACCTATAATATTATAAATTTTTATCATAATAAAACTTACCCCTATAACCAAAAAGTCGCATTAATTAAGCACGAAATTAAAAAAATACTCTCTTATTACTGGAAGGTTGAAGAATTAATTTTAATTTGTCGATTGAGCGTGGAAAATCTTGGATGTTCTATTGATAATTCAATTTGACAATGCATATTCTGTAAACCTTTCTAGATTCAAATGTAAATAAAGAAGGGTTTAGGTGGATTGATAAGGAAATTGCTGTCACACCTCATACATCYATCTCATGCATTCAATAACTATATGAGCTCAAGGCGAAGTTACCTGTTTAGTAGTTAATGTTCATTACAAGTTGTTCGTCCATCAGTTATCTTGACAAAATGACCAAAGGTGCTAGGGTGTGCAAACTTTTAACTCCAAGCATAGGATATTACATAATAACGATCATTTAAAAGAYGAGTGTTTGACATCAAGGGAAAAGGAAATAACTTGACACCATGCAAATGTCATAATAAATGGYCCCAYGAGGWWACGTAATTGGCTCGGCGCTGGGCCTTATAATACATAATAGCTAAAAACTTGATATTTTACCCCAAGGGTCTTCTCTGTTTTACCRATAAGATGATATTAAAAATCTACTAAACATGAAGACTCGAGTGTTCTTTTCGCTGTATTGATTGTGACGATCACATGTTTGCCCAACATATTTTGTTTATGAGTTTGATAGGAAGGCTAGGACATGGCAGGGTTATGTAATAGATAAGTATGCAGGGAATAACTTTAATTTCGTTCGCTGTTATTCTATTATCCAACTTCCGTAAACATCACAAATATTTATGATTTCCAAAAGATCATTAATTTTTATAGTCTTGCATTGAAAATGAACTTCCTTCATCCATTCATGGCATCTCATACTACTAGAGGATGTTCGATTCTCAATTTCTTTTCAAAATATATCGAGATCCTAATTGTCTGACTTATCCAAAAAGGGAAGTCAGAGATGTTAAAAAAAAGACTGAATTCAAAATGAAYGGAGAATCATGGCAGTCCGAAGTCAAATGACGGCATCGTGTTTGTTCAATTAAAAAAAAAATTGTCATATAGCATCGATGCCTTCACATCAACTCGATTGGCTTTCAGTTTCAATAAGATTTTTTGATAGTATTCTCAGTTAGTATCTTTTCCTTAGTTTCCAGAGCTCTGGAAGCAGCACGATAGTTTCTTTGAGGACAAATCACACGGATCGAACCAGGAGTATAGAAAATAAGAAATGTAAAGCTGTTACACAAGTTACACATGTCCACCCTTCATAAGATTATTAACACAATATTTGATTCAATAATTCCATTACAACAAAGCGTTTTCATGGTACAATTCGGGTACGGGGTCTTAATTAATTTTGATAATTAATCATTGTTAAAACTATCAAAGAATTCCTTGTTTGCGTCCCGTAATCCTCTTCGGTCTCACATTATGTCATCGATATTTTTTTTACCTTTTAAAAGCAACAATGTATCTTCAATATGGTGGAAATCCAAGAGCTAAGCCCTATTACTTGTGGCCCTTTGACAGTCCCAATCGAGCAAAGACGTTTTGCTCATATTCTTGTATCCGAGAGATTAAATGGCGAATGACAATTGTTGAACAGAGATTGCACAAAGAAAGATGCCATATTAGTGAAAATAACTTATTTATATCGTAAGACAGTCTATAGTAAACATTAACAACATTTAGTCTTTAATTTCACGCAAAAACGGACAAAAGAAGTGAAATTTCGCATATCATGCAAACATCATAATCAAAGTCTATTTTTCTTATGTAATCTTGCTTCGAAATCGCAGTTCGCCATTCTCCTCGACGTTTTTTTGTTGTTGTTGTTGTTGTTGTTTGTGAAATATGTTTAAAACACTGAGCAACTGTTCAAATTTGACTTTTCTTATATTCTATTCTTCTTAATAAAATGAAAACCAAAACATTGTCACCATACAGGTAAGGGACTGTCAAATAAGAGATTTTGATACTTTTTAATTAAAGCTTAGCTCCTGAAATAGATTATCATGGTTTTTATGATGAGGTTTTTCGTGATGAGCAAGACGACGCCTTGGGCGGATGGCCTCATTTACTTTTATTTTGAGCAATTATGCGCCATCAGCTCAAACACTTGCAGACGAGTCAAAACCGTTTTGAATAAAATGAAAACGGCAAAAAAGTTTTTTGATTCGTGACGATTCACACGCAACTTATTCATGATGATTTGTCATTATTATCAAAACACGACGCTTGATACTTAAACTTAACAGTTGTGCTGTTGGAAACTCAAAAGATAGCACGGAATTCAGATTTGAAGAAAAAACTTCTTTGTTTTTGTTTTAATATTTTTTAGTCAAACAGGCACACACATGGAAACAAATAAACTGAATGAACAATAAAAGAAAATAAAACTCAGTGATTCCGGCGGTGCTTGAAAAACCAGGGACGTCCCTGGAAAAACTAATGAAACATGAGAGTCGACAAGGATTTTTTTTTCTTGAATCCTACCTTTTCTTTTATGGTGGGAACTAGCGGTATATTTGGTTATCCTGATGATGGTACTTTTTGATAGACTAATTTACATCATCCTTTCTATTTTATCTATTTATTTTTTAATCAAAGAATTTTAAGAACTTTGACCTTTTTACTATATTATATAATGTATATTTCGATTCGTACTGAATAAAGATTTGTTCTAATTATTTTTTTTATATTATTATTAGTTTGTTTTTTTAAAGCAATGTTTGCCGCATCAATCCACATGTTTTTCATTGTGCTGCTTCTCTTCCTTTCCCAAACGGATCGGATCCCCTTTTTACGATTATYTATTACGAAATCGAAACGCGCTCATTGTGACTTTTTATCAAAGGCAGAGCCGATTACATATTACTAGGATTTTAGGCACGCCAAGAGAGGTATATC